TCAGCATCAATAAATAAGATGCAAAGTTATTTAAGTTCTACATATCAACTAGGGGGAAATGTAATTTTTTTCTAGGGAGAGTCTATTGTGTCTCTACTGATGTCTAATAAATTACAACAGAATTTAACTTCCTAAAACTATAAACACCTGTTCCCTCTGAGCTTCTGTAGGCGAGGAATGCAGGAGCAGTGGGGTCGAGTGGTTCTGGTGTGGGGTCTCTCGTGAGGTTGCATTAACTCTTGACCAGGGCTGCAGAATCCTCCTTCCAGCCCACTCCTGTGGCTCTGGCAGATCGAAGTCCTTCTTGGCTGCTATATGCATACGTCACCACCTCAGTGTGGAGGCCTCTTCACCGTGCGGGCCTGAGTGCCCCCGCGACATGGTAGTCGGCTTCCCCGGGAGTGAGCGAGTCAAGAGAGAGGGAGGGCACACCCAAGATGGAAGCGATGGGCTGTTTATAGCTGAATCACAGAAGTGACTTCCATAACATTCTGTTCATTAAAAACACATCTCGAAACGCAGCCCACACTGAAGGGAAAGAGAGCTAATCCCCACCTCTGGAGGGGAGGGGATTAACAAAGAATTTGTGGATGTATTTGTCAAACCACCACAACAACCTTATGTAATCTTCAAGAGCCAATATGACAAAATAGTTAAGGAACTACATTTGGGATTATGAAAACCTGGGGTTGGGCTGGGCGTTGTGGTGCAACAGGTTAAACTGCCGCCAGGGAGGCCTGCATCCCATGTCAGAGTGTCTGGGACCCAGTCCACCTCTGTTTCTGGCACAGCTTGCTGCCAATGTGCCTAGAAGGTGGTAGATGATGGCCCAAGCACTTGCATTCCTGCCAACCACATGGGAGACCCAGAGTTCCTGATTCTCAGCTTCAGCCTAGCACAGTCCTGGCTATTATATGTATTTAGTGAGTGAACCAAATGTGGATGGAAGATCTCTTTCTCTCTCTCTCTTTATCTCTCTCTCTTCCTGCCCCCCGCATTTCAAATAAATTATAAGACACTTTTAAAAGTAAATAAAAAATTAAAATAAAAACAAAAAAAAATCCTGTGGTTAGACTTGGCTCCCATATTTGCCACTTACTCAAGTTTAGGCAAGAGAAAACTAAAAACAGTAGATGTCTCATTGAGGTGCTGGGAGTTAAATAAGGGGCAGGCATTGTGGCACAGTTGCTTGTGACCCCAGCATCCCATATTAGAGCACTTGGTTCAAGTCCCAGCTGCTCCACTTCTGATCCAGCTCCCTACTAATGTGCCTGGGAAGGCAGTGGGCGATGGCCCAAATACTTGGGCCCCTGCACCTAAGTGAGAGTTCCTGGATAGAGTTTCCTGGCTCCTGGCTTCAGCCTGGCCCTGATGTTGCTGTTGAGGCCATTCGGGGAATGAACCAGCAGAGAGAAGATCTCTGCCCCACCCCCTGTCACTCTACCTTTCAGATAAACAAACAAACAAACAAACAAACATCTCTTTTTTGAAAATAAGAGAATTAAGTAAGGTCATGTATGTGAAATTCCTGGCACAAATCAATAAATGTTACTTAATCACTGTCATAAGGGGATAATACTATTGTCCTCTTTCACAAAAGACAGCATAGCATAGAGATTGAAGACACAGCTTGTGGAATCAGACCGCCTGGGTTAGGAGCCTGGTTCTGCCACTCATTAGCTGTGAAGACTCAGGCGAGTCACTTCCTCGCTCCTGGCTTTGGTTTTCTGTAAAGCAAAGATAATGATGGTCCCTGGTCACCTAAGAATTGTTCATTAGATATTTTATAAATGAGAAAAGAGTAGATGATGAATATGAAGACCAAGAGGAGCCTGTGGGGTGTGTGTGTGTGTGTGTGTGTGTGTAGTAGGGGCTGGGGTGCATGCACCCTCATGTGTTAGGGATGCTGACAAAGCATATTTGACTTCAGATACCCCAGGCTTGCTGGGGAGCCTCCTGGGGCCACCTGGGTTCCCTCTGAGTGTGCACTTGTATCCTTGAGCCTGCCAACTTCTGTGAACGCTCCAATTTTTACCATCCCTTATGGGCTTCTCAGTCTCATTGTCTGCAATTCTGTTCCACCCCGGCTTTGTCTAAGCATCCTTCCTTCTCCATCCCTGCTGCCTCTACCAAGAGTATGTTTAATTGGCTTTGCAAGGAGTCTTGGGACTTGGTGACAAGAGGGGGTGAGGGTGGTATCATGTCACACCACCTCCGAGCTGCTACATTCCCTTAAATTGATTTTGCAAATGAAAGCTAAAAGCTAAGCAAAGGCGCCCCATCCATTTTGCCTAAAGATGATTATAATGCTCTTTTACGGCCTCCTAAATGACAAAGCAATTTGTTACCTGCCTGCATCAACATTTGCTTATATTAGCACCCGAGATGCTTGATTTTTATTAGCCCCACGTTATCATTTTATGAAGACACAGGGGCTCAGTAAAATTAGTGTGCAAATAGAATGCCCATTTTGCATTTCCCTGTGGTCAGCAGAAATGCTGAATGCAATTGAGTTGATAGTGGGTCAGGGGAGACATCCATACAGTTAGCCTTCACCGAGGGCCTCCCTAACGCCATTTATCATTTCTGAGCTGCTGGAGTAGATGTGGTCAGTGTTAGACAGTGTTTTTTTAAGGGCTTGGTGTTGTTCTCTTTATTTTTAAGTGAAAAGCAATATAAATACTAAGACAGTAGCTCAATTTCCTTCAGCACTAAGGGATGGAAGCAAACTCTCTCGCGTATATTGTCAGTGAAGTGCTGTGGATGTGGGATCTTATATTGTTGTTAGTGGGTCCAAGAGGAGACGGACAGGGAGGTGAAAGGGACAGTAGCTGGGAGCCAGGGCTTGGCTCTGCACCACTAGATGCACAGATGCATGGCCCTAGGCCTGCCCTTCGTTTTGTGAGTGTCAGTTCTATCACCTGTAAAGTGAGGGCAATGCTGTCCACCTCAGAGAGGAATGATGAAGTGGGGTAATATGTGGCTGCCTTTCTTTAGAAACCATGATCTATACAGGTTTTTTTTTTTTGCTTGTCTTCTTGCCTTGCTCAACTGATGCAACAGTCAGCCTGTTCTCAAGCACGTACTCCATGCAAGGTTCTGGGAAAGACGTTAGAAATGTACCCTTAAGGAGCTTGTGTTCAGTCCAGGGAGAGTTCAAGGTGTCTAAATCCTCTTTTAAAACACAAAGTTCTTCAGTACGAGTGAGTCTTCTCTCTCTTTCTCTCTTTGTACCTAGAGGTATCTAGCACAGAACTGAACACCGAGTGCGTTCTCAAGAATATATTTTGGTACTGTTGCATTTCTTGCTACCTTTCAGGTGCGCCTAATGGACCAAGCAAGTGGCAAACCTTCAGAACCAGGTTTGACAGGGTGATGTCATCTGCTGCAGTCTCTGGGGCTGGGGCATCAGCTGTGGGGATGGATGATGAACCACATTCAACACAACAGCCTGTTCCTAGCATGTCAGGAGAAAGTCTGTCTGCTACCCCTACCCACCCACTCCTCCTGGAATCCCTCACTCGACCCTCTCAGTGTCTCCTTCAGGCCGTTTTTCTGTTCTGTGTTGATCTACTTTTCTGCAAATAGCTATAGACTCTCTCCCTTCCCCTTCTTTCTGGGAATGTTGCTCTTAGCTACAGCTTTTGTCTAATAATATCTTTGTGCAAGAGTTAAATGTTATTATATAAGTTAGAGAGGCAGACTGAGCTTGGGTTCTGATTTGGGGCTATATTTTCCTATTTGTATAATTATTTTATTTAATACTAGATATAAAGATATTGGTAAGTGTCTGGATTTTGTTTTCTTCCTTTCTTTAATGTTTAACTATTTCTTTTGCTTACTTGAAAAGCAGAACAAGAGGGAGGATGGAGTGGGAGAGGGAAAGACAGATAGCAAGTAGATGTAAGATCTCTCTCTTTCTATGTGTATGTGTGTGTATTTGCTTTACAAATAGAATGAAAATAAATAAACTACAAAATTTTTAAAAGAGAATTTGTTTTGGTGCAAACCATTTTGAAATTCACGCATAGCTTTTTCATAATATACATTTTCCATAAACTTTATGAAGACTCAAAATAAAACCTCTCCAAGTCTCCATTTCTGTCTCTTTAAAGGGAATCGCTATGTTGCAGTAGGATTAATAATCATGTATATAGTGTGCCTGACACAAAAGAAGCTAATTAAATAGCAGCTGCTACTATTACTATTACAAATAGCAATAGCTGTCTTCTTTATCATTCTCCCAATGCCTACCGTGCAGCCTGCACTGTGCAAGCTTGTTCAGGCATCACACCTTAGGAAGTACACATTGCTATCCTAGTTTATAGACTCGAAAATTGAAAGTCAGAGAGGATTCACATTTGTCTGTGTTCACAGTCAGTGGATCTGGGATTCAGCCTCACTCATATGGCTTCCTTGAGTTATTGTAAATGTTACATATTAATAGAGCATGATCAGTTGCACTAAGGAAAGGCAATGTGGTCTTTTAATTTTAGGCACCTAGGAACATAACTTAATTAGTCTGCAATGCCTGGGCTTTAATGGTTCTAATCCAGTGATTTAAAAGAGAAATGTGAAGGGGCTGGTGTTGTGGTGTAGCATTTTAAGCCACTACCTGTAATGCAGCATCCCATATGAGCGCCAGTTCAAATCCCAGCTGCTCCATTTTGGATCCAACTCTCTGATAATGCACCAAGGAAAACAGTGGAAGATGGCAAAGTACTTGGGCCCCTACCACCCATGTGGGAGACCCAGGTGGAATTCTAGGCTCCTGGTTGGAGTTTCAGGATCTTGGCTGTGGCCTGTCCCAGCTCTGGTCATTGGGGCCATTTGGGGAGTGAACCAGCAGATGGAAGATATCTCTCTCTCTCTAACTTTCAAATAAATAAACATTTTTAAAAGAGAGAAATATGAAGCATCCCAACCATTCTGCATCCCATCTCTCCCCTGCACCAGCTCCTAGCCTCAGCTTAGCAATCCTCTCCCCTTTTTTCTTACAGACAATCTCCAGGAAGGGGCAGAGCAGAAGGTAGTCTTCATCACAGGGCGCATCCACCCTGGGGAAACACCTTCTTCATTCGTGTGCCAAGGTGAGTTGCAAGATTTCCTGGGAGTCCCGTGCCCACCCCAGCGTCCAGCCGGGGCACTGTGATGATCTCTGCGCCAGCACCAGCAGGTGCAGAGAACTGGACTGGACGGGAGTTCTCTTCACTTCTGAGAGAGGCTCCACCTGATCCCTGCGAGGTTATTTTCCATAAATGCTCACTGAGTAGACATGGGCATGGATGAATGGAAGCACGGATAAATGAGCAGGCAGAGCTGAGTTAGTTCTTTCATACGGTTATCCATGTTCCTTGGCTTTTCTTGTCTCTAGGGGTTTGCAACACCAACACGTCTAGACCCTGGTCAATGTGTGTGTTGGTAGAAGGACTGTGAAGTGGGGAGACAAGGACTGAAAACTGTCTGCTAATTCACTCAGTCACTTAACAAACAACTCTGATATACCTTCCATGAGCACAAGCAGCTTGTCATCAGACAACAGAAAGTAAACAAGACATAATTTCTCTGCTGAAGTGTATCCCTTTATAATTGCATTTTTATTTGTTATCGCACACTTAAACCACACAAAATGTATATTTAATTAGCCAGATACAGTCAGCAATATGCATATATTTAATAAACAAGATATAAATAATAGCATGATGAATGCCCAGGTACTCAACAGTTTAAGAAACACAATATTATCTGTTCATTTTCCATTCACTTTCCTCTTTCCTACTTCATGCCTATCCCACTGCTGCCATTCAGCCTGAATTCTGTGTTTGTCATTCCCTGCTTGTTAATTGTTTTACTGTGTGTGCAAGCATCCTTAAACAATGGATTTTCCAGTTCATATGTTTTTGAGCTTTATAAAAATGCTATTGTTCTGTATGCACTGAGACTTACCTTCCACCCACTATCCACTTTGGTGGAGACACATAGTTCACGTGTTTTTCACTACTGCATTGTATTCCATGTCTATCTGTAGCTCAACTTACTTATCTATTCTCCTGATGATGAATAATCATATTATTTATAGTATTTTTTCTTACAAATAATGCAGTCACAAGTATTTTTTTAAAAGATTTATTTGTTTCATTGAAAGACAGAGAGAGAGAGAGAGATTGAGAGAGAGAAGGAGACACAGAGATCTTCCACCAGCTGGGCCAGATTGAAGCAAGGAACAAGGAACTTCATCCAGGTCTCCCACATGGGCGGCAAGGGTCCAAGCACTTGGGCCATCCTCTGCTGTTTTCCTAGGCGCATTAGCTTGGAACCGGATCCATAGGAGCAGCAGGGACTTGAACCTGCATCCATACGGGATGCAGGCACTGCTGGCAGCAGTTTAACTGGCTGCACCACAGTGCTGGCCCCTGCCACAAGCGTTCTTATGCATGTTGCCCTGTGCACACGTGCAAACACTTTTCTAGGGCATTTAACCTGAGGATGTAGTCGCTGGGTCATGGAGTATGCACATTTTCAACTTCACCAGATATTACCAAGTTTCTCTCCAAAACATGCAACTTTCCACTGCCACCAGCAATGTGTAAGAGTTTCTACTGTACTTGACAATGCTTTTCCTTTCTTTCTATCCAGTGGGTGGATTACATGTAAAATACATTATGTTCTATATGTTCCAAGCACTAATGTGAAGCCTTTACATATTTCAATTCCTTTTATACATCAATTTAAAAATTTTTAAGCTTAAATTTATTTATTTGAAAGGAAGGGAGCAAGAGAGAGAGAGAGAGAGAGAATGAGCAAGCGGCACACTCCTGTTTCCTGGTTCACCCCCAGATACCCATAACAGCTGAGGCTGGTCCAGGCCAAAGCAGGACTGTGAACTCCATCTGGATCTCTCACATGGGTAGTGGGGACACTACCTGAGCCATCCTCTGCTGCCTCCCAGGGTGTGCATTAGCAGGAAGCTGGAATTAGGAACTCCTGCTAACACTCCAACAAGGGATACAGGCTTCCCAAACAGTGTCACAGCATTTAAGCTGAATGTTCAGCCCTGATTGTCCATCTCAACCCATTTAATTTGTTTCAGTTATATTATTTATATCAATTTCCTATGTCACAGGCAGTAATATCAGCTGTATTTTTACATAGGAGAAAACCGAACTTCAGAGAAGTTAATGAACTTACCTGATTTAAACCTCAAAATGTCCTTGAGGCCAGGGAGGGAGGGGTGGGAACAGTCCTATGGAGCTCATATGCCTAACTTGAAGGAGGCAGCTCACTGCACACTGAGTCCCGGGGACTTGGAACCTGGGGATTCTGAGGTCAATTACGGCCTGTGCCACTCCCTCGCAGGCTGACTTCAGTTTCTTCAAATGTAAAATTAGGATAATGATACTACCTAGGAAGGCTGCTAGGAAGCTGGCATGAATGACTGTAAACAAAAAACCCAGTCCTGTGCCTGGCACACAGCAGGCACTCAACAGATGTCACCTCCTCTCCCGTGGGATTCTGAGAAAATGAAGTAGGTAATGTGCTTTGTCAACTATCAAGCACTGTGCAAATAAATAAGAGTTTTATTTTCCCAGTTCATATTCTTCCAATGCTGTGATTAGGCACAGTGGTCTCTCTCTTGTTTTCAGAGGAGCTTGAGTTTCTGGGAAAGGAAGTGACTTGCCCAAAGCGCAGCAGCTTATAGGAGCTGTGGCTGGCGCTCCAGTCCCTGTAGCTGGCCGTGTAGCATTCTCACTTCCAGTCTTTTTCCTCCCCAGCATTGTCCTTGCAATCACCTCTCCAAGGCCCTCCTGGGTTTACCCACGCCTTTACTTGCAGCCATCTGTCAGTTGCTAAACTTGGCTGCAGATCTGTTCCCCTAGCTGATTGGATGTAAGTGCTTTGTCCTTGTTTGTAAAAAGACAGTACCCTTACTATCCATACCTTCATCTCTGGGAACCCAGACCCACTGCTCACCTCCTCTGTGGACAGTAGGTAGAGGACGGGTCACCATCCCATTTTACTGATGACACAAAGGCAGAGAGCAGCTGAGTGGCTCTCAGGGGCTCTCCTCTGATGACCCTGTTTGCTGAAAAGGACTCTTCGATGGTGCTTCATTGATTCACTCAGTGCTGTCCTGTGGGTTTTCAGCACCTGTCTACTCCTTGGCAGTGCCTTGCAATGCCTGCCCAGTACATTCTCAAGACAAACTCCAAAGTCCTTGAGATGACATTCACAACTCTCCATGAACTGGCTCTTGCCACGTTGTCTGGCCTCAGTCTCATGACACCTTAGCCCACACAGTGTAATCCTTGAATGGGTGGTCTTCTGTCCATCACGAGGCCTTTGCACCTGCTGCTCCCTCTGCCTAGAAAGCCCTGCCTGGGCCAGTTCTTTGCCACCTGACAAGCACCTCCCATCTCACAACGCTTATTTCAGGTGCCTAGTCTGGGCCTCCCTGGGGCACCACCTCCAGCCCCTGGTTTTGATGGGTCTAAAGATGACCATGGTCTCTATTGATGGTGCCTCCGAGACACAAGTTATCTTCCCTCGAGGTGGCATAAAACAGGCTGCCTCTGTTAACTCAGGTTACTAATGAGGGATACAGGCAGTCTTGCCCTAGGGTCTCTTCATCTTATAGGGACAGCCCAGATCATAGTCTCATGGGGCACCTCTGGCGACATTTTCCCTAGTCACAACCTGTATATTGACTCCCCCACCACCCAGACCACCTTGTTTTGGGGATGGCAGATGGGTCTGAGGCCCAGAAGGATGAAGGCTGGGATAGCTTGGCTTCCGTTAACTCTTCCCCATTAACTGGCTCAGTGACCTTGAGCAGGGAACAGGCGTGTGAGGCCTGGTCGTCCCCATCTGGCTGGGACCACAGTTCTCTCTGCCAAGCTGCTGATGCACCTGCTGCTGGGAGCAGAGTGAAGTCCTTTCATTGCAGAGTTCTGCGAGGGGCGGCACTAAGTGCAGCAGGGCTTGGATGTCCTCAAGACTCTGCTTGGTGGTGGGACAATTCACTCCAGGTTACCAGTTTTGTGCCCCAGACGTCACACATGGCCTCACGTAGCTGGAGAAGCTACAATGTGAGAAGTCAAAGGCAGAGCATCTGAGACCACGTCTCAGGAGTTGGACCGCCTGGGATCTGCACTCCCTGCTCATTACAGCATGGATTTGGAAGTGGCACCTGTCTCGGCCTCCGTTCTTGTATATCCAGAGGGAACTCATAGTAGCAATCCTGCCTCACAAGCTTGTTATGGAGACAAACAGTGTTAAAGTCCATAAAACCTCGAGGACAGAGTCTGGAATACAGCAAGCACTAAATAAGTGTTAGCAGTAGGAGGCAGGGGTAGCACGTGTGGAGCACTTTGCACAGGCCAGGTCCTCCATGAGACACTTCATACGTGGTTCCCCTAATGCTCTCTGAGCAGCCAAATCCAGCAGTGTGACTTCCCCTTGGGCCTGGCTCTTCCTCACCCCTCCTGAGAGAGCCGTTAGCAGAGCTCTCCTTGCCAGCAGGCTCCCAGTGCGGGTTAGCAGCTTGGCCAGAACCTGACCCGGGCCTTGGTCTCTGACTCCTGGCCAAGAAGTTCTCTCGCAGAAGCTTCCTGGAGTTGCTGAGATGATTCTCCTTGAAAATTTCCACCTTGGGAGACTTTGTCCTCTTCTGATCCTTCGCCACTGAGTGAATTAAACCAACCCTTGGGGAGTGCTGCTGTGGGCAAGCACATCGTGCCCTGGAGGGTGGCGGGGGGCAGTGGGCACTGTGGGCATAGCGGAGGCTTAGGGGCTGGACGGAGGCCCAAGTTGGAGTCCTCCAACTTGCACCTGCCACTCTGGGGTTCTTTGGCAAGTCCTTGCCTCTCAGAGTCTCCGTTTCCTTCTCTGCGAAGTGGGGGCAGGGATCTCTTCCTCAAGGAACCGCTGTGAGGATGAAACGAGACAGTGTCCCAGTGCTTGGTGCAGCGCCAGACTCACACAGGTGCTGAGCAGCACTCATGCCCTCTTGTTCTCCTTGGCTCTTCCGCAGGACGCCCACCTGGGCACCAGGCAGCTCTGAGCCCTGTTTTGCAGAAAAGCCTAGGGATGC